GAGCAGAGATCTCTGTTCAGGGAACCCGGCAGACCTGGGTATGGGCCTTGGCCTCCTCCTCTGTGGAATGGGGCATCCGTGTCTCCATCACAGGGTCCTGGCTGGAAGGATCTGAAGTGGAGGGCACTGTGGAGGCCACCTCTGCCCCAGCCCCTGTTGATGCCAGACAGTCACCAAAGGCTGTGTCTCTTGAGAGAGTGGGGCCCCTCAGGGGCCTGCCCTTTAGGGCCTCAGGGAAATAGAAGTCAAGTCTGAGCTGCCTCTGCCTCAGAGAGCTCGGCTAGGCTTCTGCAGCAGGGCCTGGGAGATAAGATAAGGAGGCCAGCTGGGAGGGGAGGCAAGACCCTATCTTCCTGCCTCTGTTTCCTGAGAATGTGGTCTTGGGGACAAGATATTGTTGTTGGCATTATGTGCTATGGAGTCTGTTCCTACTCATAGTGACCCTGTGTACAACAGAAGGAAACACTGCCGGGTCCTGTGCCATCCCCACAATCATTGCTATACTTGAGCCCATCATTGCAGCCACTGTGTCAGTCCATCTCGTTGAGGGCCTTTTTCTCTTTCACTGACCCTCCGCTTTACCAAGCGTAATGTCCTTCTCCCGGGATTGGTCCCTCCTGATAACATGTCCAAAGTATGTGAGACGTAGTCTCGCCATCCTCGCTTCCAAGGAGCACTCTGGCTGTACTTCTTCCAAGACAGACTTGTTTGTTTTTCTGGCAGTCCGTGGTATATTCAATTTTCTTCACCAACACCATAATTCAGATGCATCAATTCTTCTTCAGTCTTCCTTATTCGTTGTCCAACTTTTGCATGCATATGAGGTGATTGAAAATACCATGGCTTGGGTCAGACAGCACACCTTAGTCATCAGAGTGACATCTTTGCTTGTTAACAGCTGAAAGAGGTCTTTTGCAGCACATTTGCCCAGTGCAATACCTCGTTTGATTTCTTGATTGCTGCTTCCATGGGCTTTGATTGTGAATCCAAGTAAAATGAAATCCTCGACAACTTCAATTTTTTCTCCGTTTATCATGATGTTGCTTATTGGTCCATTTGTGAGGATTTTTGTTTTCTTATGTTGATGTATAATCCATACTGAAGGCTGTACTCTTTGATCTTCATCAACATGTGCTTCAAGTCGTCTTCATTTTCAGCAAGTAAGGTTGTGTCATCTGCATATCACAGGTTGTTAATGAGTCCTCCTCCAATCCTGATGCCGCATTCTTCTTCATATAGTCCAGCTTCTTGGATTATTTACTCAGTACACAGTCTGAGTTAGTATGGTGAAAGGATACAACCCTGACACACACCTTTCCTGACTTTAACTCACACAGTAGCCCCTTGTTCTGTTCGAACGACTGCCTCTTGGTCTAAGTACGGGTTCCTGATGAGCACAATGAAGTGTTCTGGAATTCCCATTCTTCACAATGTTATCCATAATTTGTTATGATCCACAGAGCTGAATGCCTTTGCATAGTCAATAAAACACAGGTAAACATCTTTCTAGTATTCTCTGCTTTCAGCCAGGATCCATCTGACGTAAGCAATGATATCCCTTGTTCCACATCCTCTTCTGAATCCGACTTGAATTTCTGGCACTTCCCTCTTGATGTACTGCTGCGACCACTTTTGAATTATCTTGAGCAAAATTTTACTTGTAATTGTGATGGTTAAGGTTGTATGTCAATTTGGCTGGGCCATGATTCTCAGTGTTTTGGCAGTCGTATAATGTTGTGATCACTTCCAAGTTGAGATTTGATATATGACCACTCCCATGACGGGATCTGCTATGAGTAGCCAATCAGCTGAATGGGAGTTTCCTTGGGCATGTGGCCTGCATCGAATATAAGCAGACATTCTGGCAAGGCTCGGAGGCTTTTTGCTCACGCTGGATCCTGCAGCTGGCTCGAGTTCCTCTAACCTCTGGTTCTTTGCACTTGAGCTAGCAGCTTACCTGTGGTCTTGCCTGCCAGTCTTGGGATTCATCAATCTTGGTAGCCTGTGAGTGAGAACCCTGCTCTCTGACCTGCCAATGTTGGGTTTGCCAGCCCCTGTGGCAACATGAATCAGGAGTAGCCTCTATCCTGACCCAAGAACTTGGGACGTTCCAGCCTCTGCAACCACTTGAATCATTTCCTTGATTATAAATCTCTCTCTATATATGTGTTTATATGCCTACTGGTTTTGTTTCTCTAGAGAACCCAGCCTAAGACAGTGATATTATTGATATTGTTTGATAATTTCTGCTTACTGTTGGATCACCTTTCTTTGGAATGGGCAAAAATATGGATCTCTTCCACTCAGTTAGCCAGATAGCTGTCTTCCAAATTTCTTGGCATAGACGAGTGAGCACCTCCAACGCTGCATCCATTGGTTGAAACATCTCAGTTGGTATTCCATCGGTTCCTGGAGCCTTGTTTTTCGTCAGTATCTTCAGTGCAACATGGACTTCTTTCTGTACTTTAGTACCATCGGTTCTTGATCATATGCTACCTCCTGAAATGGTTGAACATCAACCAATTCTTTTTGGTACAGTGACTCTGTGTATTCCTTCCATCTTCTTTTGATGCTTTCTGTGTTCAATATTTTGCCCATAGAATCCTTCAGTATTACAACTCGAGGCTTGAATTTTTTCTTCAGTTCTTTCAGCTTTGAAAATGCCGAGTGTGTTCTTCCCTTTTCTTTTTTTAACTCCAGGCCTTTGCACATTTCATTGTAATACTTTGGCTTCTTGAGCCACCCTTTGAAATCTTCTGTTCAACTTCTTTACTTCATCATTTCTTCCTTTGCTTTAGATACTCTATGTGCTGTGTGGCCTGGAAGCACTGGGCAAATGACTCCCTTTCCACCCCAGCTTCCACTCACCGTTGCAGGACTCCCAGCCGCAGCCTCAGGAGTTCCTGCTCCTCGAGGAGCTTTGGGGCCTGGGGAGGCGCCAGAGGGTCCATTCTCACACTAAGGGGAAAGGTGCTGCAGTGGGTGTGCGCTGGCCTGGCCTGTTTCCTGTGCCCTCTGAGCTGCTGTTTGAGCAGATTTTTACGGGCACCGAGAGTCCCCAGTGTCTTGGGCCCAAGATGGGGCTGGTTGGAACGGTCTGTGTGATCATCAGCTGAGGTCCTGGGAGACTCTTGAAGTGGAAGAAACACTGGATTCAAGAGACAGGAGATATGAGCCCCCTCTGCAGTCCCCCATTCGTTCATTTGTTCATTCATTCATTCATTCATGGAGGGCCCACCATGTCCCAGCCCCTGTGCTAGCTGTGAAGATCCTGGCTCTGCCTTTGGGGCTGGTGTCCAGTAAAGAGGGCCCCACAGACAATCACTTCCTCAGCGTGGTGAGGGCTGGCTCAGAGGTGCCTGTAAATGGTATTTGGCTCCTTGACCTGTGTCTCAAGGGAAAAGGCATCAACACTGAGGGCCCAGCTTAGGCAGAAGGCCAGAGGCCTGAGAGTGGGCCAGAAGTTTTGGAGTTGGAGCAATTCTATGTGTATCTTGTGGGGCTGCATGGGTAATAATGCAGGGTTGAGGGTAGATGAAGCCCTGAAGGCAATGTTCTCTTGAGGGCGATGGGTGGTTTTGAGCAGGGGTTGTTATCTGGCCTGTGGGTTGTGGAGAGGTCAGATAACTACATGGGAGGAGATAGTCTGGGAGGATTCCAGGGAGGAGGTGGGTCAAGTAAGAGATGAGGGGATAGGGCAGTGAGGAGGAGTGCTGGAGCTTAGAGGTACTTTGGAGGCAGAGTGAGGGGGAGGGAAGTGTCTTCAGGGATCAGTCCCTTGATTGTGGACATGCTGCCAGGTGCTGATGGAGGCCCCAGGATCCTGAGGAGCAATGCAAGAAAAACACCCACACATGCAAAGACTGGTGTGTTTTCCTCTGTTTGAGACTTACATTAGGACCTGGGCAGACCCCAGCCTCTGTTTCTGTGCCCCTCCTGGAGGACATTCTGTCACAGTCCTGCCTGAATCCCTCCCCAGCCAGGAGGAGGGAGGGAGGCAGCTTCTTGTAAGACGGGCCAGAGAGTGCGAGTTGTAGCCATGTGTTATTAACGAGCTTGGCAGTAGGAGCCAGCCCTCACTCTGAGCCAGGCCCTGGGCCAAGTGCTCTGCCTTCATGAAGTCATGGAGTCTGTACACACCCCTGAAGGAAAAATCAGAAAGCGTTTCTAAAGTGCCAGGGCATTTGCTTGCTGTGTGCCTTTGTCAAGTGACTGCCCCTCTCTGAACCTCCATTCTTCATCTGTCAAATAGAATAACAACCCTGTACTCCTCAGGCAAGGAGCCCTAGTGGCACAGACGGTTAAGTGCTTGTCTGCTAATGGAAAGGTTGGTGGTTTGAACCCACCCAGTGGCTCAAAGGGAGAAAGACCTGGTGATCTGCTTCAGTAAAGATTACAGCCTGGGAGACCACATGGGGTTGCTATGTGTCAGGATTGACTCCATGGCACCTAACTACAAACAGGCGGGGTGAGGGTCAGATGAGACAGCACGAGGAACATGTCCCAGACGGGCTCTGGCTTAGAGTTGGGACTCAGCACATCCGCTACCCGCCTCACTCTGCCTTTCCTGCTCATCACGTACAATTTTGGTGTTTGTTTCCTCTCTGTACCCCACCCCTATACCATCATCACTGTGGACCCTGGGGGCTGGCTGGGAGTGGGCACTGCAGAGCTGCTGGTGCTTGGAAGGTGATGGAAATGGACCCCTGCTAGTCAGAGACGACCCGAGAGTAGAGCAGGAAGGTGGTGGTCCAGGTTCCAGTGCCCTAACATCCTTCTACAATATTACGTCAGCCTTTGGCAGAAGAGTGGAATTTTCCAGTCAGGGAAGGGGAGGAGGGCATTCCAGGCAGGACCTGGGGGAGCTGGATTCAGGTGGGAGCAGACTGGCCACGTGGGGTCGGGGGGGGGATCTGCACACTGAGAGCAGGTCTCCTTTCTGCTGTGGGTGGGTGTCTGTTGCTCCCTGCTCCTCATGCTGTCCCCCACCCTCTCTGCAGGATATCTGCAAGGACCCTCACCTCTTCGTGAATGGCATCAGCTCCCATGACCTGCACCAGGGCCAAGTGGGCAACTGCTGGTTTGTGGCGGCCTGCTCTTCGCTTGCCTCCCGTGAATCGCTATGGCAAAAGGTGAGGCTGGGGTGGGGCAGAGTGCTAGGGGATGTGAACTCTGCTGCGGTCCTCACTGCCAGGTAGTGGAGGGGCAGGTGAATGTGCAGGTGAGACTTTTACAAAAGCTTGTTCCAGGGATGGGGTGGGGGTGATGTTGGGGCTCCCCGGTACTGGCTGACTGTCAGAACCTCCTTCCCCTCACGTGGCAGCTCAGGATCTCCATGGCCAGGTCCTGGAACTCTGTATAGCTCCCAACGTGATTCTGATTGTCCCCTCACTGCTGTTAGGGGCCCACAGTTCCTGGAGCAACATGGTGGATACATAGGTAGAGATGTGGAAGCTGCCAGAATCCTGTTCAGTGTGGAGACACCACTAACAGGCTCAGGAGACCCCTGTCAGTAACCTGCTGTGTGACTTTCCTGCCCTTCTCTGGCCTCATGTTCCCCAGTTGTTCAGAGGAGGTGATCCAGATGACCCCCAACTGCATGATTCATGGTTCCAAGCTGCTGAGTTTCTGGACCAGGGCCGAATGATTTAGGTTGGAAAAAATGGACTTCTGGCCTGACACCTCGCCCTCTTGTGATAGAACTAGGCATTGCGACTCTTAAATCCAACACTCAGAGCCTGCTCTCCTGGGGAGGCAGGGAGGCTGGTGTGAAGGCTGAACTCTCTAGAGAATTATTAGCAGAGATTGCAGTGGAGAGATATCTGGGTGGGGTATTGCCAGGCCCAGGTTCCCATCCTGGCAAATACAAGTCATTGCCCCTTTCTCATCCCTACCCTTCCTGCTCTCCCTAATAAGGGACTAGGGTGGGGGCTTAAGAGCACTGGGTGTCTGTGTCTCAGAGATGTGGGTTCAAGCCCCAGCCTCACCATTTGGTAGCTATATGACTTTCAGAGGATATTCATCTGGAAAATCAGGATAATCAGAGTAGCTACGTTTCCCGGGGTTGTGAGGGTGAAACGAGATGCCTTGTTCGGCGTTGTGCTCAGTGAATGGTGTTGCAATAATTAATAGTCATATAATGCAGTGCACATTCCTACGCGAGCTGGGTGAGTTGTGCCTTGTGCTGCAAGGCATCCTTCAGCCATCAGAGGGAGCTGTGCCCTCAACTGAGGCTGGGACTGTGCTATGTGCCCTGCTCTCCAGTCTTCTGAACAGGGATATGACCTCTCGAAGCCACTCCAGGGCCTGCCCCTGACCCTACTCCAGGCCTGTGCCCTGATGGCCCTGTGGGGAGAGGAAGAGAGGGTGCTGTTGGCCTTGGGGCCTCTGCAGAGGCCACTGCTGCAGCATATACGTGGGTAGTCATGGGGTCTCAGACCCGGGAGGTTCTCGGTCCCACGTGGGATTATTTCACACTTGGGGCTCCAAGGCCTGAAAGGGTCAGACCTGCAGCTGTTCTCTAGGTGTAGAGCTGGTCCCCAGTCTCCAACCCCTTCTCCGAGCCCAGAACAATGTCCCCCTGCCTCTGAGCCCTACCCCCAGCTAGGCCAGGGCTCAGTCTGGGGCTGGAGGTGGCCCATGGCACCCTCCCTGTGACCTGGGCTGTCCCCACACCTCCCACCCTGCCCCATAATTGCCTGTTTACTTATGGCCTCCCCTCTTGAGGTGAGCTCCCCAAGGGCAGAGTTAACTGAACTTATATCTTCCCACTGAGCCCAGCAGGAGCCTGGCATATAGAAGGCTCAGGAAAGTTTTGGGAATGGAGCCCCTCCCCAAATTGTCTGACCAGCTACTGACCAGCAGCTTCACACCCCAGCCTTGCCGCCCCAGACCTCCTCAGGGCCTTCAGTGGGGCCAGAGCCTGACCCCACTTGGTCCTCTTCTGGTAGTGTGTAGACAAGACCCTCAGCCTGCTGTGCCCCACCACCCTGGGCCTGGCCCCTGGCGGCCCCCGGTGGCCCCTGGTGTAGCCCCTGCTCTAGCTAGTGGAGAAAAGGGTCAGGACTTGGAGGCAGGAGCCCATCTCTGATGCTGTAGGACCTTGGGCCAGCCTCGTGTTTATCTCTGGGCGGGAGGGTCCTCCTGCAGGTGTCAGGGCACCTGGCCTGGTTGGTCTTAGAGGCTGCCAGGGCCAGGTGGCTTAGGTACCCGGGAGGGTGAGGTACCCGAGGAGGGTGGGGTAGGGGTGGAGGCTCTTGGGCTAATTGCACCCTGCCTCCTGGTGCTGCCGTAGTGATAGCTCCTGGGTCCAGGAAGGAGGCCTTGGGCACTGGGGAGCTCATTACTGGGCCTTGCCTTCCCCTCCTGTCCCTGCTGACCAGGCCCTGTTTGTTGTCACCCGTCACATTGTGGGCCTGTTGCCCTGCAGGGCCTCCCCTGCCTCACCCTGTTTTCTCTATAGAAGCCTGGGGGAGGAACCCAATCTGATCTGCTCCCCCCACCTGCCCAGCCTCACATTCTGGGGACCCTGAGCCTCAGATGCAGGTACATTGCACCTTCTACACAAATGCCCCCTCCTCCAGGAAGCCAACTCCTCCACCTCCAGCCTTAAGGCAGCCTGGGGCCCATGGGCACAGGATTTGAAGCTGGCCAGACCTGAGTTTTATTCTGGCTGGGTCCCTTGCTGGTCATGTGACCTTGGGCAAGTCATGTTCCTTCTCTTGGCCTCAGTTTAAACCTGACCTTTCCAGCAGCCCCCAGGATTGTGAGGGGAGAAGAGGAGGAGGCAGAGGGCAAGCCCTTGACATCTGTCAGCTCTCTGCATGTATTAAGTTTCCCTTCCAGCCCCTTTCTCTGGGTACCCCCACCTGTTGCTCTCTTCTCCCAGACACCTCTTGGCAGTGGGCTGCCCCTTTAATGGGATCCTTCGTGGGGCATTATGGTCTCCCCAACTCGACTGTGTGTTCCCTGGCAGTGGACTTCATCTGACCAGGTTTTGTGAACCAGAAATCAGGATGTGACAGTGGGGTTGAACCCTTACCATCAGGTCTGGCCTGGTCCAGGGGGGCGTGGGGCAGGCCTGATCGCTGCTCCAAGCCTATGGTTTGTCCTACCCTAGGCTAGACCCAAGGAGCCCTGATGGTGCAGTGGTTAAGAGCTTGGCTGCTAACTGAAAGATTGGCGGTTTGAACCCATCAGCCACTCTGAGAGAGAAAGATGTGGCAATCTGCTTCTGTAAGATTACAGCCTTGGAAACCCTATGGGGCCGTTCTACTCTGTTCTTTAGGGTCTCCGTGAGCTGGAATCGACTTGACAACAATGGGTTTGGTTTTGGGCTGGACCTGGGCCCAAGGGGAGTCAGTCAGGCCCCTGGACAGAGGAGAGTGTGGACGTGACCCCCAGTCCCAGTCTGTGAGAGCAAGTGCTGGGTAGTGGGCAGTAGTGGGGGACTAAGAGAGCTATTCAGGGGCAGGGCCAGGCTATCATTTAGCTCCCTTTAAAAATGTTTCCAGCTCCTGAGTAGTCCAAATGGTTAAGTGCTCAACTAGAAGCCAAAAGATTGGTGATTTGAACCCATGCAGAGGTGCCTTGGAAGACAGGCCTGGCAATCTGCTTCTGAAAGGTCACAAAGCTTGAAAACCCTATGGATCATTACTCTGCACACACGGGGTCGCCATGAGTCAGAATCAACTCTATGGCAACTAACAACAACAAAAATGTTTCCTATCCCCAACCCAGTCCCGTTACATAAACAGTTCATGCTCTTTATGTCCATTCGCCGCACATCAGTTGAGTATGAGTACCACTCTAGGTGCTGGGGACAGAAAACTTGAAAAAGTACAGAAACATTCCACATCACTGAAGGTTTTTCATTACCCAGAAACAACCAGTGTTCAGGGTTTCCTATATTTTCTCCTAGTGTTTTTCCATTTAGGGTTAGAAGCACCCCCACTTTTCCCCCATCACAACCTGTGTTAACATCTCTGTGTCTACTCTTCTCTGGAATACCCCTGGGGAATTGCTGCTGGTGACACCCAGAACTGACCCCAGGGCTCAAGATGTCTTGGCAGGATGAAGTGCTCTGTCTTAGTATTCTTCTGTTTTTCAGGTAGCCCAAGATCCCACTGACTTAGATAGCCTCCATATTTAGCAATTGACTGTGCTTGTGGTCCACTAGACCCTTCAGATTGTTTTCAGTTATTCACCTTGGCCTGTGTCTCTGCATTCTTTTCTGTGTGTGGCATGCCATGGCAGCTGCTTCTCTCCTCCACCCCCACCCCCAACTATACTCACATACTCCAGCTCTTCCATTTGCCCACAAGCAATAGCTGAGCTCCTGGTTCTGCCCCCAGGAACTGGGGATACAGATGTTTATCAGCTTCTGCTTCTTTCTCAGCTTCCAGCCTCCTGGGGGAGACTGAGGATCAATACAGGTGGAGTAAGTGGTGGGATTCTAGTAGGAGAGAAAGCTGGTCATGGGTCGGCCACGTGGGTGCAGGGCTGAGACAGAGACAGCAGGCAAGAGTCATGTAGGCCTGTGGTTCTGAAAGTGTAGACCCTGGAGCAGCAGGATCAGCATCCCCTGGGAGGCTATTAGAAATGCAAGTTCTTGGCCTGCCACAGACCTACTGAGTTAGAAACTCTGAGGTGGGCTCTGGCAATCTTTAACAAGTCCTGCGGGTGATTGTGAGGCTCACTAAAGCTTGAGAACCACAGGTCTAGGTGAGGGATGATGGTGGCTGGGCCAGGGTCCTGGTGGTGGGGATGGAATGTGGCGGGGGCGGGGGTGGCTCTTGGAGTATTTGGGAGGCAGAATCTGCAGGCCTTGGCAGTTGGGTATGGAGAGGTGAGGGTGAGGGAGTCTCAGGTTTGACTTGGGCGACTTCAGATCTCAGATGATGAGATGGGCCCACTCTGGTCCTTGTCCTTTCCCCCACACCCACGACTGGTGGTCGTCCAGCCTCTCCTTACATACCTCCACTGAGAGTGTGCTCCCCAATCCCTCCCCTCTTACTGCCCTTGTGAAGTGCTCCCTTCTTCACAAACAAGCCCGCTCCCAGCCCATCCCTCTTGTTGTTGCCACAGCGATTGACGTCAGCAACTAGTCCCCTAGGAGTCTTTCACCCTCCTGCCTGCCTCCAGTGCTTCCTTTACCACTTGGGCAAGGAGAGAGGAGGCATCTGGGACTCCTGGGAAGCTTGGCGTCCAGGTCTCCCACCCCTCACACACCCCATTTGGAGGACTGGGTGGGGCTGGGAAGGACGAGTGGCAAAGAGGTGAGGGTGGAGGGGAGGGCGGGAGGGTAGGTGGGGCCCCTCTTTGGTGGCCTCTTCCCTTGGTGCCCAAAGGCCCCAGCCCACTCGCCTCCTTGACAGCAGTGGTGGTGGCAGCGGCGGCGGCAGCAGTAGTGGGGCGATGGCAGAGGACGAGCCACAGAAGCCTCAGCTCGAGATGCCGCTGGTCCTGGAGGAGTTCCTGACCAAGCAGATGAGGCTGCGTGTGGAGAGCCTGAAGCAGCGTGGGGAGAAGCGCCGGGATGGCGAGAAGCTGCTGCAGCCAGTCGAGTCTGTGTACCGCCTTGACTTCACCCAACAGCAGAAGCTGCAGTTTGAGCGCTGGAATGTCGTGCTAGACAAGGTGGGCAAGGTCACCATCACAGGCACCTCGCAGATCTGGACACCCGACCTCACCAACCTCATGACACGCCAGCTGCTGGACCCCGCCGCCATCTTCTGGCGCAAGGAGGACTCGGATGCCATGCATTGCAATGAGGCCGACGCCCTGGAGTTTGGGGAGCGCCTGTCGGACCTGGCCAAGATCCGCAAGGTCATGTACTTCCTCATCACCTTTGGCGAGGGTGTCGAGCCCGCCAACCTCAAGGCCTCGGTGGTTTTTAACCAGCTCTGAGAGTAGCTCCTTGCTGCTGCCCCTCCTCTCGCCCAGCTGCCCTCTGCCCTGCCCATGTCCTCTCCCCTCAGGTATGTGTTTGGGGGCATTCTTCTAGCTGTTCAGCTTGTACTTGGCTTGACCAGCCACCCCCTGGAGTCCTGTGTCCTTCCTCCTCCCCTTTTCCCTCGTACTGGCGCTCCTGCTCACGGGAGGAATTCAGGGCTCTGTAGTCTAGAAGCTGAACTGGCTGATGCTGCTTCTGCTGCAGACGATAGAGGCCTGGGCAGGGCTAGTGGGGGAAGATGGAGAGGCCCTGGTGCCTGCCTTCTCTCTGCCTCACTGTGGGGAGGAAACAGAGACGGAAAGAGACACAGACAAAGAGATCCAAAGAACCAGCCACCCAACCTCCTCCAGAGATGGGGAGACAGAGACGACAAGAGGAACTGCCTCTGGGAAGCAAGCAAGCAAACTTTTGGTGCCCACCTGGCCATGCACTTTGCGAAAGCCCATGTCTGGAGGTGAACACCCAGCCTAGAGACCAAGGAGAGTACTGCTTCCAACGGCCTGGCGGGGTCCCACAATGCCTCCGGGATCTCAGGATGTTGGGCAAAGCTACTGTGGGGGTTGAGGTCTCTCCGTCCATCTGGCTGAGTAGGCCTTGGGAGTGAGGGTGGGGGCATGGTGGAGGATGTGCTGGCCCAGGTGTAGCTCTTTTCTGGGAATGACTTCAAGAACAAAGAAGTGAAGGGGGCGAGAGAGATATAAAAAAGTCACATAGAGATCTATCTACTTAACTATATTATATATACATTTATATTAAGAGAGAGTATCCTATATTTATATGGATGTATTCTAGAGGTCTATACCTGCCCTGTGTACGAGTCTGATTTTGTATTTATTACATAATTGCCCAGCTGGTTCAGGGGTGGCTCATAGCAGGGGCTTGATCAGGATGACCTTGGGAAGGCCTTCCTGAGCTGGAGACCTCGAGGCTTATGCAGTAGAGTGGGGAATAGCTTAGTAAAGGGGTTTCTCTCTGCTTGGGGGAAGCTGGCGGGAGGGGGTCCAGGCCCCAGGGCTCTCTAGGCCTTAGGCGTTGCCTCCTGGGAAGGTGGGCTTTTCCCAGCTCACTGGTCCAGGAAGGAGAGTTTATTCTGATGTGGCATCTGTTGGCATCTCTTTGGCTTCTTCAGTAAAGCTGAGGGACAGGGTACGGGGAGGGCTGGTGGGGCAGTTGTGAGGACTAGTGGTCAGAAATGGGCTGGAGGCAGCAGTGGGCTATAATGGAGAAACATTTGCCTAAGGTCATTGGGTGCAACCACTCAAAGACAGGGGAACTGAGGCATAGAGGAGGGCTTGCCCAATTTTCAGCAGATTCTGTTCTGGCTCCCAAGCCTCATGCCCCTTCACACTGCTCAGGCATAGACAGCCCCCAGTTGAGGGAGGAGCCTGACCCGCCACGGGGTCAGGTGGCAAGGGCCCTCAGGAAGTGTCCCCAACACCCTGTCTCAAGGCCAGCCTGTTTGATGTCCCTGGTCAGACAGGGGTGTGTCCACATTTCTCCCCATGAAGTGGAGCCTTTGGGAGCCTCGGGGCCCTGGGAGCAGATGCAGTGGAGATGGAGGGTCAGAGCCATCCCAGGACGGCTGGGGCTGCTGGGAGGTGAGCACCCCTTGGAGGTGTGCAAGCAGGAGTGGGGTATTGGGGAGATTGGCTGTGGTGGGAGCTGGGGTCCTTTCTAACTTGGAGCTCTGGGTCCCATTCGGGGATGAGCTTGAAGAAGTCCTGGCCATTGCCTGCCTTTCTTCTCCGCTGACTACTCAGGGAGACCAGATGCTTAGTAGTGGCCCTGCCCTCTGCTTCTTTGCTTGACCTCTCCTTGCAGCCCTGTGGCTGCAAACTGCCTGTACCCCTGCCCTCCTCCCACCTCTGCCCATGCAGGTGGGTAAGTGCCTCTGTGTACCCTCTATGTGTCCCCAGTAAAGCGTGTGTGCCCTCACCTGATGTGTGTCTCTCTCCCTGAGCCACCCTTCCCCTCAAGGAGCTCTGTCTTATCCCGTTGCCTCTTCATAGCCCTGAGCACCCCCTCCCATGCCCATGTCCCCACATTCCTCCTCCTGCCAACTTTCAGGGATGAGGACAGAGCAGTCAGGCGACTGGCTCAAGGTCAACATCAAGACTGGGCTTAGAGCGGCTCTCCTGACACCCAGCGAGGAACCAACATTCCAGAGGATTTTTCTCCAGTAGCCCACAGGCTAGCCGCTGTATGGGGTTCAGGGAACCATGCTGAGGCCACGGGGCGGGGGGCACCATTTGTCCCTAGGAGAGCAGAGACCAGAGGGGATAGGGTGGGCATGCACAGAACCATCCTCCATCTGCAGTCTCCTTCTCTTGCAAGATGGCTGGGCAGGGGCCAGATAGGATGGAGGGAGTAGCTGAGGGTGGGGTGGGGTCAGGCCTGTGCCATGGGTGTCTGGCGCCCTTGTCACTGACTGACTGTGTGTCCTCAGGCATTCCTGACCCTCTCAGACCTTCCATCTGTACAGTGGAGTGAACGACCTTGTCCTGCGAGGTCCCTTCCAGCCCTGGCTCTCTGGGACCTTAGTGCCCCACTTGACCCTTTTACAGAGCTCTGTCCCCTCATCATCTCTTTTGAGCGCAGTCATTTTATGGAGACACTGAGGCCCAGAGACACAAGATCACAGAGGGCGTGGAGACGCCAGGACAAAGGGTGTGTGTGGACCAGGCCCTGGGTCTGTGAACCTTAGACCCTGTAACATGGGCCCCCACAGGGTGGGCTGGAGAGATGCCCCTCCCCCACCTGAGGCCCAGCCCAGGCTAGACCAGCTTTCTTCCCAGAGGTCTACCATCAGGCCCTGCCGCAGAGGCCGCACTTGCAGTTTTGCCTGGGACTGGCCCTTGCTTCCAGATGGCCCCTCCGGCCAGGTCTCACCTCCCCCTTCCTCCTCACCCCAGAGCCCTTCCTTCAGAGCAGCTACTACCGGCTCATTTCCCTTCCCCCTTTACACTCCTTGTCATGGTGTCCAAAGAACCCTTGCCCAGCCCTGCACTGCCCCTCTCTTCCACAACCCCACACCATCTCCCAGAAATCTCTGCTTCCCTGACATACCCCTCCCCAAGCCTTCCCCTTCCAGGCACTGTCTTCATCCACTCCTAAAGATGCCTCTGGGAGGGGGTGGGGGAACGGAGATAGAGCAGTAGAGGGCCTGGCTCTCACCCCTGAGACTGGGGTGTGGGCAGGTGCCAGGAATGGGAAATGAGAACCCATTTTCCATGGAAACCACAAAAGCCATAGAGTGAAGAGACCTGCCGTTTCCTGAGCTTCTGCCTCCCAGAGAGGCAGTGTGTGTAGTGGTTAGGAACTCGCCCTGGCTTTGCCACTCACCAGCCATGTGACCCTGGGCAAGTCATGGAGCCTCTCAGCCTGTTATCTGTCTGCTGGGACTCATCCTAGTACCTACCTCGTAGGGTCGTTGTGAAGATTAAATGAGTTAATGTTTGGAAAGCACTCGGAGCTTTACAGAGCTGGCACACGGGGACCCTCTCTTTTCCCGTCCCCACAGACACATGATCTCACTAATTTTCACCATTATTCTGGGAGGAAGGGTCTAGGGGAACCTTTTTACTGATGAGGAGTGAAAGGTTCAGAGAGGTGAAATAAGTTGCCCAAGGTGACCCAACAGGCCAGTGCCTATGGCAGCAGGTGGTGTGGCGTGGAGGGATGGGCAGGGGCAGGGGCCAGGCCTGGCACTGTGATCAGAGAATAGGGGTGGGGGGGGAGTAGATAGTCCTCCATCACCGTCACCAGGCTCCCCCGTCCCAGTGTAGCAAACCCCTGGGTCTCAGAATGCCCAGCTGAGGGGACCCCGAGCCCTCACAGTAGAATTGGGGAGATGAAGGCCCCGTGGGAAGGGCCTGCCCAGGACCATGGGGCCAGGTCCGGGCAGCTCAGGTTGGGGGTCCCTGCCTAGATCTCAGCCTCTGGCTGCAATCTCTTCCTGCCTTGGGCTCCCTGCCGTGTAAACAGGAATCCCCACGGCCCCTCTGCAGTTGCATCAGGCATCCTGATCCCTGGGAGTGGTAAGGCCTGCGTTCTGCTCCCCGAGGAGGCAGCAGGGTGACACCCGACCTCCCTGGCCTCTTCCAGTCACGGCATCTGAAACTCTGGGAATTTGAGACTTGGAATCAGTGGCTGATAATTGAGGAATCTCAGGTGCTAATAATTAGGGACCCTCTAGTTTTGAGGGCTTGAAGGGGCCTTGCAGTTCATCTCCCCCAACTTTGGTAACACAGGAAGGCCCACCACAGCCCCTCATCCTGCAGCCCTGCGGGCATTGTTCAGAAGTGCTCCGAGCTGGCCCTCTGGGGTCCCTGGCAGAAATCTGTGAAAAGCTTCATACCTACACCATGTGCACACACATACTCACATGCATACTTTCACAAAGGTACATGCTTGTGCACACACACACTGACGCACACAGAGGTCATGGGCAGTGCTGCTGCCCTGGGCCCCTGACCCTCCCAGTCGTCTCCTCCTCTCTCTCTCATCCTTGGCAAAGTCCAGGTCTGCCTGTGCCCTAGTAGCATTTGAGCCCAGCTGGGGCTCTGCTTGTGTCTAAGTGGGAGCCCCAGGGAAAACCTAGGGAGCTCTCTAGGAGTCAGAGGCACTAGGGGGCACTGCAGTGTGCTCCTAGGGGAGCCCTTGAGGTTTCTGGGTGGAGTCTGCAGTGGGTGGCTGTTAATGCGTCCTCTGGGTGTGAGGGAGGTTCCAAATCCTACATAGTCCTTGCCTCCCTGCCAAGTCAGGCCAAGTATGTGCCTCTACCCCCCAGGCCTTACTTTTCCCATCTGCTCAGGTGGTGCTGTTGAGGTTTTTCTTTCTCCTCCTGGGAGAGAAGTTGATCAGGTAGTCTCAGCTCCCTCCTAGAGCCTCCCAACAGTTCTCAGACTGTTGTGTGAGCACGCACACACATTGCATACACCACCCGGGATGACCCTCACGTGTGCACAGCTCTCTCAACTGTAGACCACACAACAGTAGACAGAACAGCCTAATGAACTCTCACGCACCCATCCTTGTACCTCAACACTTGTCAGCTTAGGGCCTATCTTGTTTCCCCTGCTTCCCCTGGGCAGCATATCATTTCATCTGTAAATATTTCTGGATGCATCTTTGAAAGATAAGGGGTCATTAAAAAAAAATAATAACCACAATACCATATACAACTAAAATATTTTAAAATAATTCCTTAATATCATCAAACACCCAGTAAGTGTTCTGATTTCCTATTTGAACCATAAAAGTGTGTGTGTTTACAGGTTTGTTTGAATGAGATCTAAACGAATGTCCATAATTGCAATTGGTTGGTTCCCCTTTTTTTATTTTGCCTTGAAGTTTATTTGTTGAAGAAACTGGGTTGTTTAACTCTGGAATTTTCTCGCTGTCTGGATTTTGCTGACTGCATCTTCATGGTGTCATTTCACATGTTCCTCTGTCCCTTGCATTTCCTGTAAACTAGGACTTAGCCCTAGAAGCTTGATCAGTTCAGGTGCATGACTATTGTTACTTCTCTCAGGGGGCGCGAAATGTCTCATATCTTTCTTTTTTGTGCTGTTAGAAGCCGTTGATGATCATTGTCTAAATTCATTAATTTGTCAGTGGTTGCAGAATGGTGATACTCTAATATTTTCATTTCTTCCTCACTTATTCATTGGAATTCTTCTCCAGGTGAAAACTTCCCTTCATCTACTATTTGATTACCCTCCAGTATAGTTTATATCGAAAAGGCAGGATAAATGCTTTATGCTTTCCCTTAATTTTCCAGTTTCAAAATAATGAATTCCCTACCATCCTCCAGTAGTAGCTACGCATTTGTAATGGTTATTTGTTCTTGTAAGTATCGTTATGATCTCATGGATTTGAACATATCTGATGTGTTTTAGTCCATTACACTTATGATCCTTATTGATGGCCAGATTGGCCCATCTTTGGCCAGTGGAACTTCTCCATATTGCTTCCTGAATCCTTTGACATGGCCCCAGGGGTCTTTGATCACATCCTTGATTTCTGGCATGACCAGATGTGGTGAGGAAGGTGTTTAATGTGTGCACATGTGTGAGTTCACCTGCTTGGACAGTCCCCCTCCTGCTGCCCAGTATAGCAGGAGTGAAAGGCTGGCCTGGAGCTACTCCATGCCAGGTCCAATGGCTGGGATGCAGGAGAGAGGGGAAATTGAGGCCCCTGGGATCCCTAACTCTGGGTCTTCAGGCTCTGGGGCCTCATTAGCTGCTTCTTGAGCCACAGAGAGCTCAGAGCCAAGCCCTGATTCCGGCTAATGATCCTCCCCCGGCCCCAGCAGTACCTCCCAGCACCCTGTGAGGGCTCCTCTTCCTCCCTCCTGGTTTGGCGCGCTCCTCCCCCCGCAGTCCAGAACATTCAGAGCAGGTGGGAGGGGCTCGGTGGAGGCAGTGCTCTCAGCTTAGGATTCCCTATCCCTCTGTGCCCTGGGCTGCTTCTTGTTCCTCTCTGGACCTCAGCCTTCCCCTCTGTTCAGTGGGGATAATAACTCCCACCTGCTCTCCTGTTAACAGGGAGAACCAGATGGATAGTGGTTGGAAAGGGGCTGGGAAAATGTGACCAGTTTTTGGACCAGCTTTCTGTCATGGAAGCGAAATGGGGAAAGAGTGCTAGGGGCCAGGATAAAGGCAGGCGAAGACAGAGTTGACTGAAAGGGAAGCAAGTAGCAAGGAGGTGGGGGAAAATGAAAAGTATGGAGCATGGGGTCCAGACACTGTGCCAGGCCCTGGGCCCTGGGTTTGAGTCCTGCCTCCCTCACCCATGCCTACAGGCACAGTGACTTCCTATAGTATTGCCTCAAAAGATTGTTGTGAGGTTAGAAGCAATAGAGTCAGCAGCCCAGCCCACCCTGGCGCCTGGCAGGCCTCCATCAGTGGTGGCAGTGCCTTTCGCTGTGGTTAGCATTTTCATTTTCTTGATCTCAGATGTCCCACCAGGGAGCACTTCCCTTTGCCAACATCCCTGTTGATGATAAACAAAAGAATTCTTAATGAGTGTGGGGGTTGGGGAATCATCTTTGACCGAAGTCTGTGTGCTCAGGCTGCGTGGGGCCCTGGAGTTTATGCCTCCTGATTCATCTCTGGATCTTAGCCGGGATCCCTGGGTACATGACCTCATACCTGGGGGTGCTTTGGTTCTAGAAGGAGCTTCTTGTAGCCCTGGTGGAGCTCGGCCCTATTTGATCCCATGCAGGCTACCCCCACCCTGCCCACAGCGATAAGGAATTCATTCTTTGGAGGCAGGCAGACCTGGATTTGAGTTCTGGTGTATTAGTCTCCTAGCACTGCCATAACAAAGAGCCACAAAGTAGGTGGCTTAAAACAACAAAATTGTATTGTCTCATAGTTGTAGGGGCTAGAAGTCTGAATTCGGGGCGTTGGCAGGGTCATGCTCCTTCCAGAGGCTTTAGGGGAAGATCCTTTCTTGTCTCTCCCAGTGGTGACATAACTCCAATCTCTGCCTCCGTCTTCACATGGCTGTCTTCCCCCTGTGTCTCTCTGAGTTTCTTCTCCTCTTTTATAAGGACACCAGTCATACTGGATTAGGACCTACCCTACTTGGTTATGGCAGGACCCACCTACTCCTTTAAAGGAGCCCTGGTGGCACAGTGGTTAAAGCGCTTAGCTGCTAACTGAAAGGTCGGCAGTTCGAAGCCATCAGACGCTCCGTGGGAGAAAGATGGGGAGTCTGCTTCTGTAAAGATTACAGCCTTGGAAACCCTATGGGACAGTTCTACTCTGTCCTATAGGGTTGCTATGAGTTGGAATTGACTCAGTGGGTTTGGTTTGGGTTTTCTGCTCCAGCATGACTTCATCTTAACTTACCTAATAACATCTTCAGCGATTTCAAACCAGGTCACATTCACAGGGACCAGGGGTTAGGATTTCAACATACCTTTTGGGGGACACAATTCAACCCATAATACCTGGCTTCCCATTTTTCTAGCTGCGTGACCCTGAAAAAGTTACTTCCCCACTCTGAGCCTCAGTTTTCTCATCTATAAAACAGGGATGGATAATAGTAATCTACTCACAGAGTTGTTGTGAAAATTAAATGAGAAAATCCATGGTACATGGTACCTGGCATTTCCAAGATGCTCCATAAATAATAGTTATTATTACAGTGCCAGTCAACATCTGTTAATTTATTCATTCAGTCAAGCACCCTCTCTGGGCTAGGTGCTGGCTGTATAGCAATGACCAAGGCTGATGGGTCTCTGCCCTCAGACAGCTGACATTCCAGTGATAGTGACAGATATTGAATACTGCATGACACAGTAATTATATTCGGGATGAGTGTCTCAGCCTAGGTGCCATGAGATGGTGGACAGAGGTCCTGGCCTAGTTTGAAGAGTCAGGGAGGACTTCCTGGAAGAGGAGGAGGGACCCTAAAGGACAGTAGAAGTTAGCTGGGTGAAGAGGAGGAGGAAGAGCAGGTGTGGAGTTCCTGACCAGGGAAAGAACTTCGAGCAGGGAGCAGGGAGCAGGGGGTGGGGACTGGGATGGGAGAAGGCAGAGAAATGAGGCTGGGGGAGGTGTAGGGTAGGGCCAGAGCACATTAAGGGTTTGGATCTTAATTTCCAGAGCCACGAGATGATCACATTACTTGTCTGAAAGATCACTCTGCTGCCGTAGGACGTGGGGAGGAGCAAGGGCAGATGTAGCAGCTGGAGGCTGTGTCCGGACGAAGTGATGGAGGTTGGGTCAGGGTGGTGCCAGTGGATGGAGAGGAAGAGATGGGTTTCAGAAGCATGTGGGAGTTAGGGTGGGCCTGAATGAGTGGGAAGAGGGAAAGCAGGAGGCCAGCGTGGTGCCGCCTTCAGGCTTGGGCCAGACGGGGTGGGTGGGTGTTCTATTCACTGGCTGGGGACCGTTCATGGATATGGATATAGTTCTGAGGGGGGAGGATACAGAGGGAGGCATGAGGAAGCTCATAGAATCTTAGAGTGACAGAGTTGACAGGAGCCTGGGGAATCCTCCAGCCACTGCAGAGCTGGGGAAACTGAAGCCCAGAGGTGAGAAGGAGCTGCTCCAGGTTCCACATTGGTTCATGGCAGAGATAGGAATTGAATCCAGCATTCCTCTCCATTTTGATTCCCTGGAGGCTTGTACTCCCATTTCCTCAGGAAGCCAGATGTGCCTCTTAATATGTCTCCTTCCTGTCTCCCCTCCCTGTCCAGGTCATCCCAGACTGGAAGGAGCAGGAGTGGGACCCCGAGAAGCCCAACGCCTACGCAGGCATCTTCCACTTCCACTTCTGGCGCTTTGGGGAGTGGGTGGATGTAGTCATTGATGACCGGCTGCCCACGATCAGCAACCAGCTCATCTACTGCCACTCCAACTCCCAGAACGAGTTCTGGTGTGCCCTGGTAGAGAAGGCCTATGCCAAGTAGGTACAGGTGCTGGTGGGGTGGGTAGGTGGGCGGCACTGCTGATGGGCTCAGTGTGCATGCTCCTTTAGCCAGGGCTTCCAGGCCCAGAGAGGTGAGGGGCTGGTGCAAAGACACACGGTGGGCTCAGAGTCTGGGCACCGAGGGCACAGCCAGCTAGCCCCTGCTGCGTGGGGCAGCGGCCTGGTCTGAAGGTCTCTGAGTAGATGGTGTCAAATCCCCGCAACTAACCCACGAGGGGAGGCCTTGTGACTTCCATTTATAGAGGAGAAGACTGAGGCTCGGGCAGGTGGGTGTCCTGCAGATACCCAGGGGGTCAAGCCAGCACTCGCATTCAGGCCTGTGCTTCTTTCCCAAAGGTCCAAGCTGCCAAGCCCCATTGGAGACCTTGGAGCCTGCTCAGAGGAGTCTCTGAGCTTGGGCCTGGGCTGTGCAGGGTGGGTCAAATGACTGCCCTTCCTGCTCACTGGGCCTCTTCCTCATCTACCCATCCATCTACCTACCTGTCCCATTGTCTACCTGTCTGCCATCCATTCTCTCTTTGCTGACCTCTCTCCTGCTCTGTGCCAGACCCTGTTTCTCCAGTGCCCATCACAGAGCCTGGCACAGAATGCGCACATGCAAAGGTTGGCTGAGCTGTGGACAGCTCCAGACAGAGTGGCCTGCCCAGGCCCCTGCAGGGTGGGGGAAGGCCTGGGGCAGGAGGGCCTGTGAGGGTGAAGACCAGCCCAGTCGGCTTTGTGGGAACCACATCCCATTCCTCTTCCCAGGTCCACTTGTCCATCTTCTTGGAAAATGTGTGTGTGTGTGTGTGAGAAAAGAAAAGGAAAAACAAAAATGAAAACTCCCAACATCAAAAACAAACCTAGAAAAACACGACGTTGGCTGGTTTAATCCTAGAAAAGTAAAACCCGCCCCCTGGTGGCCACTGACTTCACAGTCCCTGGTGCAGCCCCTCTTCTACCTCTCCAGGACAGCTGATGCCTGGTGGACTTGGGTGGTAGTTTTTGCATTAATTTATTTACTTTTTAAATTATAAAACGGAGTACTTATCTGTTACAGCAAATTCAGAAAATATAGAAAAACGTGAAGAAGGTAATCAGTATCTTCCATACTTCTGCATATTCTTCCAGTCCCTTCCTTCCCCTCTTCCCTGTTTTGGGCCATAAGTTCATCGGGGTCCTCAGTTCATGACCAGCGTCGCCCTTGTCCACCCAAGGCCCCACCCCTGCTCTTTATCTCGAGTTCCTCCCTTTTCGTTCTGTGCCCCTTTCCCATCCCGCCCCCACCACTGGCAACTCTGTTAACATCTTTGATGCATCTTTTTGTTTACAGGTGACCTTGCAAAACCTGTGTTGCTATTTTGCGTGCATACATTTTAAATTTATGTAAATAGGTTGGGTTCTATAGCCCATTCTGCTTCTCACATTTACATTCGGCACATGCACCCCCAACCCTTTTCCTGCTTGTTTAAATAAGGAGACACAGCTGTGTCCCCAGCTCCTAATATGTTGTGCATGTTGTTATTGTTATTAGGGGCTGTACAATCGATGCCGACTCACAGTGACCCCATGTGACAGAGTGGAATTGCCCCATAGGGTTACCTAGGTAGTAATCTTTAGCAGATCCTCAGGTCTTTCTCCCGAGGAGTTGGTGGGTGGGTTCAAACTGCTAATCTTTGGGTTAGCAGCCGAGTACTTAACCATTGTGCCACCAAGTTTCCTTATGTTGGCTATAGTAGATGTTTAATACATATTTTCAAAAATGAATGTTTAACATAGCTGGAATGCTACTGTATTGCTTTTGTGAACATAACAACCAGGCACTAGCACTTCCTGTCATGGAAACTCTTTTACAGTATTTTTCCAGCGGCTTCGTAATGTTACACAGAGTATAGATGCAACATTATTATTTTTTAAAACCAATTCCTTGTTAAATGTCTAGGTTATTTCCACTGTTACATTGTTATAAATGATGCTGCTTATTCAGAATTGATGGGTCAAAAGAAATACGAGTTTTTAACACTTCTGAAAAGAACTGCTAGATTGTTGGATGGCTGATTTTTGAAGATGGGGCCACTAAGGCTGAGGGGAATTTGAGTGATAAAATGGTGTGGTTCAGTGGGGCAAATGTTGCCCTGGGAGTCAGAGACCTCAGTTCTAGTGTCAGCTCTGCTGTGGCCTGCTGTGTGACCTTGAGCAGTTTGCTTGACCTCTCTGAGTTAAAAATCTCCCCAATCTTTAGACTGGCTGGGGAGCATGAGCTAGGAATTCTTTCCACGTTGTTCCCTAGGCTGGCGGGCTGTTACCAGGCTCTGGATGGAGGCAACACAGCAGATGCACTGGTAGACTTCACAGGTGGCGTTTCTGAGCCAATCGACCTGACCGAGGGTGACTTCGCCAATGACGAACCCAAGAGGAATGAGCTCTTTGAACGCATGTTGAAGGTGCATAGCCGGGGAGGCCTCATCAGTGCCTCCATCAAGGTGAGCATACTGAGCCCGGCCTCAGAGGCATCCCTCCCCTTCACCCACCTTGACTGAGGTGGGAGGTGGCTATGTCATTGCAGGCTGAGCCCAGGCCCAAGCTGGCTCATAAATCCAGACACTTGGCCCCTGCCCTGACCCCCTATGCTGCGAAATGCCTTCCCCACACCTTTTGGCCAACACCCCCCTTTTCCAGCCGTCTCATACTGAGGTGATAGGTGTCTGCTCATCTGAGGATCCCTTAGTCAAGATATAAGGCATCAGAAGCTAAGGGGTGGCAGGGAGAAGGGAGGGAGTCCCTCCTGCAGGCAGGCACAGGGCTGGGTGCTTCGTAAATGCCACCCTAGCTCATTAATTACCATGTTTGGGATGAGAAAGCTGGGGCTCAGTGAAGGCAGAATTTGAACCCAGGTCTGGCTGGCCCAGTGGTCTGCTGATAAACCAGCTCTCTAGCGGGGAAAAAGCCCTGATTTGTAGCATTTACTGATTTCTGTGGTGTAAGTGCTTCCACCATGGTTGATTTCAAACTACCAACCAGCTTGCAAAATTCCTGAGTATTTACCTTACCTATCTGAGCGAGTGCGAACTGGCTCCAGCACACTACAGTACTCCACTGTAGGTACCTTCCTGTACCAGAGATCGCTGCCCCATAGGGGTCTGTAAAGGGCTGAGAACGCTAAGCACAGTCCCTTGTCAGAGGAACAAGGCCTCACCTTTGTGTGGAGCTGCGGTTCCCTTCCTGTACTGCAGGGGGCGGTGTTGCTCGAGCCTGGCCCAGCTTTGGGTTCCAGCCCAGCCCTGCCTCCAGAGTACCTGTGTCCTCCCACAGGCAGTGACGGCGGCCGACATGGAGGCCCGCCTGTCATGTGGCCTGGTGAAGGGCCACGCATACGCCATCACCGATGTGCGCAAAATGCGCCTGGGCCACGGCCTGCTGGCCTTCTTCAAGTCCGAGAAGCTGGACATGATCCGTCTGCGCAACCCTTGGGGCGAGCGGGAGTGGAACGGACCCTGGAGCGACACGTGAGGCCCGGGGCAGGGAGGTGGTGCAGGCACAGGGCAAACTCTAGGCTGGAGGTCCCTGGGATGGGCCCCATTGCGAGCTCTTGCTTAGAATGAGTAGACTTCCAGGAGGAGGTGGCACCAGGGCTGGGCCCTGAAGGACTTGGGGGAGGATGACGCTAGGAAGAGAGAAGAAAGGACACTTACTTTGGAGTGGGGGTGTGGTGATGGATTCAGCATGGGCAGAGGCCTGGAGGTGGGGGTGAGCTCAATTTCTGCAGGGTACTTAGAGACCTGTCTGGAGAGTGAATGGGGGAGGGAGGGAGGAAGGGAGGTCACAAGGGGTGCATGAATGGGGGTGATGTTCTGTGCTTGGCTCATGGCCTGGGTGAGGCCAGGAGGGGAAGGAGCCCTCTCCATTGGGGGTCATGTCCCCCTCACCCCCTGCCTACTTGGTAGCTGCCCGTGGTTACCTCGGGGAGTGGACAAATGGGGCTTCTCTGAGAAGGGCTGGGCATGGCCCAGTGCCCCAAACCATACCCCCACAGATGAAGGCCTGGGCTGAGCTGTCCCTGGTACCTCCTCACCCTTGCCAGGGTGGTCCTGGTGGGCCCCACCTCTTACCCCCTCCCACTTCCTTCCCCTGTCCGTCCCTTGTATCCCAGCTCAGAGGAGTGGCAGAAAGTGAGTAAGAGTGAGCGGGAGAAGATGGGCATGACTGTGCAGGACGATGGCGAGTTCTGGTGAGTGTGCTGGTCCTGGGCGTCCAGGCTGAGGGAGGAGCCTCCTGTGAGCCTGGCAGGGAGGCCCCCGGAGGGAACACAAGATGGGAAGTTGGGAGCCAGAGCCCTAGCCAATGCCCCATCACCAACTTGCCTTGTGGCCTTAGACAAGTCACACCATGCCACTGAGCCTCAGTTTCCTCTTTGTAAAATAAATTAGGCAGTAATGGACCGGTTCATCCCCATAGTCTTCTGTGTCCCGACTCTGGCCCCAGGCTGAACCCTTGACAAGTAGGCTAGGATGTCAGTGGGTAGGGGATTGACCAGAGGGCAGGGGCACAATGGGTGGCCCGATGCCTGGGGTAGAGATAGGAAAGCAGAGGAGGTCTTGTGGAGGAGACACCTCCTGAGCCGAGACATAGGATACAGAGTAGCCCCTGGCTGGGCAAGGAGAGAGACCCATCCCAGTGGTGAGAGAGCACATGTGGGTCTGGTAGGGGGACCCTTAGGGAGTGCATGGATGGGGAGTGGGATCAGAAGTTGGCAGCAGCTTAGCTTGAAGAACCTGATAATCATTTCTCCATTCACTGCTGCATTCGTTCATTCCTGCATTCATTCATTCCTGCATTCATTCATTCCTGCATTCATTCATTCCTGCGTTCATTCATTCCTGCGTTCATTCATTCCTGCATTCATTCATTCCTGAATTCATTCATTCATGCATTCATTCATTCCTGTGTTCATTCGACCTGCATTGAGGCTCAATGTCGGTCTTCAGCAGCAAAAAATTTGGTGACTTCTGGAGGGGCACAGGACACTCTGTGCAGTGGATGCCATGGGGGCCCAGCAACTTCCCACGACCCAGGGAAGACCAGGACCAAATGGTAGTGATCCTGGCACCCCAATGAGGACCCCTGTCAGAGGCATCAGGGGAGCTGCTACAAGATGTTTGTTACCCAGGCCCTCTGGCTCTGGGCTCCTGTGAGCAACATCACTTTGTCCAGTCTGGTTCAAGGATCAGTTGAATTAAAACAGCAATAGACAGCCCTCATCTTGCTGTACGTATGCTCAACAAAAACAACAAAATAAAAGAAAGCCCTTATATGAGGAAAGCGCTTCTCATATATGTTTGCACTTGATCAACTTCCCCTTCCCCAGCCCAGGCTCCTGGAGGTGTGCACGGCACGAAGGGACCATAGTGACACCCTGGCCCGCTGCATATGTCTACCAAGGGGCTCCCACCCATCAGCCGCTTCCAGCTCACAACAGCTGTGAAAGATAGTGGATGGAAACATGCTTAATAACACTAGTTATTAATGCTATTAGTAATTATAACAGCCAGCCTTTGCCAAGCACTTTCTGTCTGTCGGAAGTGGCATTAATGCTTCTGTTGCAGTGCGTAATTCCTACACTTACTCCGTTGGGAGGCAGTTGTTGTGAGATGCATCCTCATTTTACCAAGGAGGAAACTGAGGCCAGGAGAAAGGTTGAGGGTCCGTGTGACACTATGTCCATACTCTGTGTGAGCTCTGGTTCAGAGCATGTTGGGTGAGCGGCGGGTGGGCTGGGGTGACCTGCCTCGCTCAGCTCCTTCCCACGGCTAGGATGACCTTTGAGGATGTGTGCCGATACTTTACCGACATCATCAAGTGCCGTGTGATCAACACATCCTACCTGAGCATCCACAAGACGTGGGAGGAGGTCCAGCTGCATGGCACCTGGATGAAGCACGAGGACCCACAGCTGAACCGCAGTGGGGGCTGCATCAACTACAGGGACACCTTCCTCCAGAACCCACAGGTGGGCGTTCCTGGGGACTCCCCACCCCTGCACCCTCGAGCAGCTGCGTGGGCCCTCACTGCTATCCTGCCACAGTCTTCTGCGTGACCTTGGCACATCCCTGTCCCTCCTTGGGCCATCTGTGCAGTGGGGGTTGGATGAGCCCATTGGTCCAATCTGTGTGGTCATGTAGCCCCCAAACCTACCATCTGACCTGCAGATGGTAAAAAATGGGGAAACTGAGGCTCAAAGGGACTAGTGAGTGTCTTGTCCAGAATTACATGGCCATTTAGAGGCTGAGCTGGGGACTTAAACCCCTTTTTGCCACATGAGCACAATACTGCTCCTTCCTGGGAAACTTGGCCAGGCTGGGCTCCCCCACAGGGACCTCTCCCCTGCAGCTTCCTTGGTCATGACCCGTGGCGGCTGCTTAGTCCTCAGCCCAAATGGGGACAGCGTGCCTTTATTGAGCACCAATTGTGTGCCAGCACAGAGTTAGACACCCATTATCTCATTGAATCCTCATAGCTCTCATGCGGGGTAGGAATTGTTAGGCCCATAGAAGGAACTGGGGCTCACAGAGGTGTTATGACTTGCCTGGGAAGTGGCTGATCTGAGGTCTGGCTCTGGAATCCCAGAAGCCCATGAGCCCATCCTCATCATGGCCTCACTGTGGTATCTCTCTTTCCTACGCCATGCCCACAGTACGTCTTTGATATCAAGAAGCCAGAGGATGAGGTACTGATCTGCATCCAGCAGCAGCCGAAGCGGTCCACCCGCTGGGAGGGCAAGGGCGAGAACCTGGCCATTGGCTTCGACATCTACAAGGTGAGGCCAGCTGGGATCCCTGCTCTGGGTGAGGAAAGCAAGGGGGCTGGAATCTGGGTGAGGAAAGTGAGGGGCCTGGAGGGGAACACGGTAGAGTGTCATAGTCACCAACATCACCCCAGCAGTCTCTGCTACATTGGCTGAAACCATGGGGATGCTATGACGTGGGCCTACAGAGGAGCCTGCATCTGGCTTCTTTGGGAGCTCTCAGTCTGATTTCTTTCTGCCCCAAACCTGCAGGCCTTAGCTGCTTGGTGAATGAGGAAGGGGAGGATTGCTGGTGGCCAGGGTGGCTGCTGGGAGGTTCTGGATGTCAGATGGGCTCCCTGGCTTCCCCTTCCCCCACGGCTTCAGGCTTCTCTGTGCTCCTGAAGCCCCAGGAAGCACCATTGGAGGCCTTGCTAGGCACAAGGAGAGGGCATTCCTGGGTGGAGCCAGACAGGCTCACCACTGGTCTGGGACCTGAGGCCTTCCACATGTTGTGACACCCAGTATGCGGTGAAGATCTGGCATAGCGGGACACCATATGCCTGTCCGACACCAGGCTTATAATGAAATCATGTGGATGTGCTCGGTGCCTGGTCCATGTTGAGTCCCTGACATCTCATGTTCCCCATCATGTCCCAACAATTTGTTCACATCATTATGCTGGAACATTCATTGTGTTCTGACATGTTGTGACACTTTGTTCTGACACTGATGTTTCATGACCTTCAGTAACGTGACTATAGCGTATTGCAGCACTTGTTTTTGGGATTGTCTAGCATGTCCAGAGAGTGGGTGATGTCATTTCATGGATACATGCTGTGACTTGGGCAGATCATGACACTTGGTTCAGTTATGGCCCTTGGGAACCCCACGGACATTGTCACCAGAAGGATTCCTATCTCCTCTTTTTTTAAAAAACAGCTTCATTGAGATATAATTCATCAATTTAATGTGTACAATTCAGTGGCTTTTAATATATTCACAGAGCTGTGCAACCATCACCACAATGAATTTTAGGACAGTTTCATCACCTCAAAAAGAAACCCTTGTGCCCCTTAGCCATCACCATCCCATCTCCCTATTCTCCTTTCGCCCAAGCCCTAGGCAACCACTAATCTACTCTCAGTCTCTATAGATTTGCCTGTCCTGAACATGCCATGTAAATGGACCTATCACCCTTTGCTTGATGGTGAGAGAGAGAAGTGGGATGGGCTGCAGTAGAGCAGGGTGGGGCTGTGTGTGGCCCAGCTCCCTCCGCTCTCTCCAAAGGTGGAAGAGAACCGCCAATACCGCATGCACAGCCTGCAGCATAAGGCCGCCAGCTCCATCTACATCAACTCGCGCAGCGTCTTCCTGCGTACTGACCAGCCTGAGGGCCGCTATGTCATCATCCCCACCACCTTCGAACCAGGCCACACGGGCGACTTCCTGCTCCGTGTCTTCACTGATATGCCCTCCAACTGCCAGTGCGTGGGGCCTGGTTTGGGGCCAGGGTTGGTAGGGGCACAGCACACACTGGGCTGACCTGGAATCTGCAGCCCAGAGATGCTCAGTGTCTGTCTGAGGCATGGAGCCCAGGCCTCCAGCCTCCCTGGGCTGACACCCATGCCATCTTGTTCCTTTCCCTTCCTCTGCCCCCCTGTCCCAGCCTGCCTTGGCCAGGACTAGGAATAGCCTCTCATGTGTGCATAGCACTTTGCAAAGAAGGTTTCACCTCATTTTATTGCCATCTTCCCCGCATCCCTGAGCAAGAGGCCTGACCACTCCATTTTATGGATGAGCATTCAGGATCAAGGTTAAGGGAGTTGTCTAAGGTCATGCAGCTGGTGGTCAAGTCAGACTGTGCCACCCAGCCTGACTCCAGGGCTGAGGTCTTGTCACCACAGTCCCCTGTCCCATGGGTAGCAGGCTGTCAAGTCCAGTGGACTGCTGAAACCATCCCCATCCCTGCTGGGGTGCAGACCTTGTGGGTCCAGCGCTGCCCTCCCACCTTAGTATGCAGCCCAGATGCTGTGTCCCCAGGAGGACAGGGTGGGCCCTGCTTACGCCCCAGACCTGGAAGGCAGTCGGTGGTGTGATGGAGTCCGATGAGCCTGTCTGGGCAAGTCCCTTCATTTGGGTGAGCTTGATGCTTCCTAATCTGTAAAATGGGCATAATCATAGTTAGCTATCTCCCAGGGCTTTGTGAAGATTAGAAATAATACTTGTAACACCCCAGCAGAGGTCTTAGCACTTAGTGTGTACTCAGTAAGTTGCTTTTCCCTTGGGGGAGAATGGGTCACACTTGGCTAGGGATAGAGCAGCAGGAAGCCCAAGGGGGTCAGATGGTTGGGGACTGCCTGTGGGGATTTGCCCACGGTGTGAGACATCTGCAGTAAATACTGCTCCTCTCCCCACCCCACTTCTGAACCCCCTCCTCACCTCCCTTTTCCTGCCTCACCTCCTCACCCCTGCCCATCCCAGGGAGCTACGCCTGGACAAGCCCCCCCACTCCTGCTGGACTTCCCTGTGTGGCTACCCTCAGCTGGTGACCCAGGTGCATGTCCTGGAGGCTGATGGCCTCAAGGACTCCCCAACAGGTGAGCTCACCCTGGCCTAGGCCCAGAAAGCCCCTGGCCTTCCTGCTCAGGGAGGTTTTCCCCCGGCCCTCTCCTCCAACCACAAATACCCAGCCCTACAGAGCTATCCTGCTCTCACTCATTCAACAAACCTTTCCTGACATCCACCCAGGCCCAGTCACTCCTGCCTGCTCTCAGGGGGCTCCAGTCTGGCAGGGGAGTCAGATATAGAAATAGACATCTGGGAGGAGGGCTCAGGGAAGGCTTCCTGGAGGTGTTGGCCTTTTTCCAGGTTGAGGACGTATTGGCTGGTGAGATGGGTAAGGGAAGGAGGTGCTCTGGGCAGAGGGAACAGCATAAATAAAGGCCTGGAGGCCAAAGATGACCAGTGTGCCCCGTCCTGCCAGTCTCCCTGTCTCTGGAATTTAGGAGGCCCTGAGATGGGCCAGACTCTGGTCTCCCTTCTCCTGAACACAAGAACCCAGGAAGGCATCTCACCTCCCAAACATCTGTCCCATCTGGGCCCTGCTCCAGCTCCCACCCTCACCCCGTCTCCCACTCCCTCTAGGGGCTGACTCTTACGTGATCATCAAGTGTGAGGGGGAGAAAGTCCACTCCACTGTGCAGAAAGGCACCTCAAAGCCTAAGTATGATGTGAAAGGCGTCTTCTACCGCAAGAAGCCAGGCCAGCCCATCACTGTCCAGGTGAGCTCACCTGTTCCAAGGACCCCTCCGGGGCCCCAGCCTGAGGTGTCTCCACTCAGAGGGGTCAGGCCCAGAAGGAAAAGCCTTTGACAGGGACCCAGGAACACCAGCTTCTGGTTCTCACTCTGCCCCCAACTCATGGTGTAGCCTCAGGAATTCTCTTGCCCGCCCCCCACCCCGAGTCCCCAGAGCCGCCATTTGTAAGGTGGGTGAGTGGATTAACCCAACTCCGGAGTGGTGTGATTCTGAATCCCAGCAGGATCAGTCTCCTTGCTGAGGACAGCAGTCATCTCTGCTGACCTCGCCCAAAAGCCTGGGTAGTTGTTCCTCAAGTTCCCCTGTAGGCAGGCCCGTCTGGAAGGGTTACATCTGAGACAGTGTGTGGTGTGGCTGTTTCCTAAGAGCCTTGAGCAGGGAATCAGAAGGCCAGTCCTTCCCCTCTCAGACCAAGGTGGTCTGTGGACGATGATCCCGAGCTCATTAGTGGGAAGCCTGCGATCCCCTGGGCCCAGGCCAGCATCTCTCTGGGTGAGAAACCATCTGTAAACAAACACTTGGGTACCCCACGGGAGCCACTGTAGATTTTCCAAGTTTTCTTAACACTGAGTCTCCCTGAATCAGATAACAGACCCATAGATGTTGGGACTGGAAGGGGCCTTAGAGGGCAGTCGATTCAGTCCTCACTAAAATGGGACACTAGAGCAAGGGGCGTATTACTTATTCAAGGTCGCCCAAAGTCAATAGCAGAGCTGATAATAACAGATTCATTAACTTTAAACATGGAAGGACGCTTTGACAGATGGGGAGACTGAGGCTGCAAAAGGGGCATGGCCTTGCCCAAGGGTCAGAGACAATCCAGGGCTCCTTTTCCTCTGCCAAGCTTGCTCTGTGAGAAGTAGATTTAAGACCCCCTCCCAGGAACTGGCCTCCTAGACTTGAAGATGACCCCTCCCACAATCCTCTGTTTCCTCCCAGATCTGGAACCAGCGATGCATGAAAGATGAGTTTCTGGGCCAGGTGCAACTGAAGGCTGACCCGGACGACCTCCAGGCTGTGCACACCCTTCCCCTCCGAGATCGCAACAACCGGCAGCCCAGCAACCTGCCTGCCGCCGTTGCTGTGAGCATCCTCAGTAGTGCCTCCCTTACAGCTGTCTGATACCTGCCCACCTTCCTGCCCCAACAGTTCTCACCACCATCTGCATGTCCCCACCAGGCCAGTGACTAGCCTGGGAGCCCAGACACTGGGGTCTTTTCTCCAGCTCTTCCTCTGACTTGCTGTGTGACCTTGGGAGGTCTCTGCTTCTCAGTGTCCTAAGGGCTCCAAAGCCCTCCCTTCTCATGGAGGAGTCTTCTTGCCTGAGATTTAAAATGGTCCTCACCACCCCAACTGTCACCTCTGCTAAGGGACTCTATCCATCGAAAACATTTTCCCAAGCCCTGCTGCTGTCTGCCAACAGAGTGCCAAGATGTCACTTGTTTACACACAAACTGCCATGTCCCTGAGCCCCACTCTGGTCCCTTGTGTCCTGGGCCCACCCCAGTCTCCCAGGCCTTGCTTTTTCTCTGTCACCTACACCTGGTTTTCTAGCCACCTGGAACGGACTCTTGGCAGCCGCTTGGTTCCTGCTCAGGCTGGGATTCGACAAACGTGCAGGTGACGTGTTTTCATCCTCCAAAACTGTCTGCTTATCCGTCCATTGATTCATTCAACAGAGATTTGCCAAATGAATAGATGATGCCTGTGAGGCCCCCGGTGGAGCTGAGTCTCTGCCCCTGCAGCTCTGGGAGACACAGGGCGGCTGTGGCCATGCCTCTGCTCTCAGGTCCTCTCCTCAGGTGGAGGCCCAGGGGAGCTGCAGCCAGGTTCCGATTTCATTCCCAGCCTCTGGGTGAAAGCCCCCAAGACGTGGTGACGGTGGCGAGGAAGGGCAGCCCTTCCTGCCCTTGCTGCCCTGATGCCAGAGGGAGTGTGCATGGTTTAATGGGCAAGGGGCCAGGCGGGTAGAGGGGCATGGGGACCCAAGAGGTGGCATGCTCCCGTAACCCCTCTGCTGTGAGACCCTGGCTTTTCCTGGGAGAAAGGAGTCTGGGGTGAGTGGATTTAGACCTGTTGAGGTCACGTGACAGGAGATATGCAAATCTGTCACCTGACCAGAGGCCCTTCTGCCAACATTCCCCCCAAAGAGGCCACAGACCCCTTCTTGCTACCCGGACCAAAATGTTCCTTTTAGTCTTCAAAGTTTTATATCCTTTCTGTTTGAAAAATCTCAATTTTAACCAGGGGTTTTTCAAGGAAAACTGAAAGCCTGAACCCTTTTTTTCTCCTTGAACTCCTGTTTTCCGGTCCTCTGGTTATATCTGATTCCGCTTGGGGAGGGCCATGGGAGAAGTCGTACCTCCTCAGCGGAGGTCAGTGGATGAAGACGTATTTGGTACTGGGGGCTTTTGCACGCTGGCACTGACTGTTCCTGGAGTCTTCTTGTTGAATGTTGGAGCCATGACTAGCTTTTGGTCTCTTCTGTGTCGTCTTGGGCTCACAAGCCAGGTGAAATAAATGAAAAAGTACAGTTGGCTCACGAACACAAAATCCTGTGGTCTTGCCCAGGAATTCCTTTTGGGAACCTGAGCTTTTGCCTCCAGATCTCGCTGTTTGGGTCCAGTGTCCTGGCTGAAAGTGCTGGATTCTCTGACTTTGCCTCCTCACTCATGTCCAGTTCTGCTCCTGTGTCCTGACCCTGGGCTGTGTGAGGGGCCAGGAATGGAAAAACAAGAAGATTCCTTCTTGAAACCCAGGACTTCACTTGAGAACCTGAGCGTGGAGCCGGCACTCTGAGCATGACCAGGAGCAAGTCACTTAAACCTCCTGTGCCTCAATTTCCCCCTTCTGCAAAGTGGGGCCACAAGTGCTGAATAAGGGCAAAACAATACCCCTTTCCCTATGTATCTCTGCATATGTACATACTATATACACATTTATGTAATCACCACTTCTCAATGTCTAATTTACATTAAGAATCCTGAGACAGCATGGGGGAATAGAGAGGTGAGACCAGGTAAACCAGCTTGGGGCCTCTGGGACTGACACATGGGGTCTTTGCTTAGCCATGTCCACCAGGACCAACTGGCAGAGCTGCATGGGCTTCAGCCTGGTTGCTGGTCACTGCCCCCACCCCAGTGAGTTCTGCAGCCTTGCCCTTGCTTCTTGCCCCTCTGGGTGGGCCAGGGTGGCTCCTGGATGCTGTGGAGATCCAGGCTGGGACTGGATGGTGGTCGGGGAGAGCCGTTGCTCTGTTAGCCTTATGCACCCTTCAGCCCAGGGGGCCAACAGAGTCCGCATTCCAACTTGTTCTGTTCTCAGAATAAATGTTAACTGCAATCTCAGAAAGACATTCCCATGTCTGTCTGTTCCTTTGCGGGTGGGGCGGGGGAGTGGTATGGGGGTGGGCAATGAAGGGACTATTTCCCATGCCTGGACGACTGTTCTGCAATCACAGGGACAGACAAGGGAGGACTTGAGAGTCACAGCTGAGATAATTGGGGTCCTTCAGTCATTCATTCAGCAACTCTGTACAGGTTTGGTCCCATTCCAGGCACTGGGAATACAGGGAACCAGACAAAGTCCCCACTCTGAAACGGTCTACAAACTAGTGGGGAAGACAACTACAAATACTCTGATCGTATCAGCAGGGCCATGTGGGCATTACTGGGGACTCTATCCTGCAAGTCTAGGGAAGGCCAATACCCAGATCTGATTGGTGCAATGGAGGCAGCAAGTGAAGCCTGTGGGAAGAGGAGGTGGGTTTGTGGGTTAGGGCACAGGTGGATGTGGGCAGAGCAGAGTGGAGGCCATTGAGGGAACCCAGGGAAGATGCTGGCAGTTCAAGCTGGGAAGGCAGGGGTGGCGGTGGGCAGCAACAGGGTTGGGATAGATTTTGGAAGAAGAGCAGACAGAATTCTGTAGACTGGATGGAGGGTGAGGGTGAGGGCAAGATAAATGAATTGACGCCGATTCTAGATTTCTTTATGGGATTGTGAGAAATCGACATTACGAACTATGTGACATGCTTAGCTTACTGTCGGTGCAGGGCAAGTGTTGAGTAAATTATAGTTACTATAGGGTTTAGAGACTACCCCATCCCACCCCCAAATTTCCTACCACTCCACCCCCTTACAGCTCAGACATCTTCTGTCCCCGGCCCTGCAGCTGGCAAGCCATGTGGCCTTGGACACACTCACGTCTCTCTCTAGGTCTCATTTTTCCCATCTGTGAAGGGCTGACACCACGTGCTTTGCTCAGCCTGGGGGGCTCAGAAGAGATGATGCAAGGAGTGGGGGGTACTAAGTGACCATAGCAGGTGTAAGACTGGGGGTGGCACATTCCGGCAGCCAGAGGTCTTCAGAGGTCAGGATTGTGGGCTGAGTCGCAGCCCACCACCCTCTGCTCTGGCTGCCTGGGGTGCCAGCTTCCTAAGGAACAGAAGACTTGGCCTGCGGCCCTCCACGGCTGTCCAGGTTGTCCTGAGCAACCTGCCTCTGGGTGCAGCTGCTTTGCCCACCACGAGTTTACCAAGTGTGCTTACAGGTGGAGTAACCTCACAGCACCCCCTCCCAGCCCCACCCGAGAAGGATATTGTCACCCCATTTTGAGAACGAGGAATCTGAGGCTCATAGAGGTGGGACTTGCCTAAGGTCACATAGTGAGAAAAGGGCCCAGCGACTTCAGAGCCTGTGTCCCCCCAGCCACTAGCAGAGCATGACCAGGCCAGGGCGGAGGGGTCACATGAGGGCCAGTGAAGAGCCAGGCCCTGGACTCCCTCCTCCCCTACTCCCGCTGCCCACCTGTTGCTCGAGGCAGGGAGAGGCAGATGCCCAGCTTTGCTCAGGCAGTGGTGCCTGTGCCCAGCAGGTGGCGCTGTTGGGCCATCAGTCCTCGATGGGCCTACTATGCCCCTCACCTGTTCCTGGGCTGGGCGGCAGCCTTGAGGCCCCTTCCCTCCAGACACACCTGGGTAAAGGAGGCTGGGGATCTGAAAGAGCGCCTCCCTTTGCCAGGGTCTAGAGCTGCCCATGAAGAAGTCGGCACTGGTGGGCCAGCTGCCAGGTGTGGCTGTAGACAAAGGGTGGGAACAAGAAAGTGCCGGGTCTCAGTAAGAGGTCCTGATGCTATTGTCTTCGCCAATGCTAATAACAAGCATCAACTTTTTGTCCCCTCCCCCCTTCCTTTAAATCACCTGTTTCACTTCGATTTGTATGAGTCCCTGTTAAGTGCAAGGTTGCTCCAAGTCAGTTGGGTGGGCCAAATTTCCTGGGTGATTATGGAACAGCACACAACTCCCCCCACCCCTCACCCCCAGCCCAGAACAGGTTGTGGGGGCATTGTTTGATTTGATGAGCTACAGGGAGATACATCTAGGGGGAGTCCTGGAAGGTGAGTCTGTGGGAGACCAGTAACGGGAGGGGGTGTGCACGGGGAGGGGGAGAAGGAGCCAGAATGGGGGACCTGCTCAGCATTCTCTTCCTTCCATGCCCTACCTGACCAGTTTCCAACCTGAGTCTCAAACAGCCATTTCACAGGGGGAGAAAACGAGCTCAGAGAAGGGCAGGCAGGGGCCAAGACTCCAGTAAATCAGTGACAAAGTCAAGAGTCAGAACAAGGTTTTCTGCCCAGGGACTGTGAGCAGGTGATGTTACCACAGATGACAGGAGACAGCGGAGGCCAGGACAGGTGGCCCCAGGCCCAGGTCACACGCTGGTCAGAGGCACAGGCAGAGAGAGACCCCAATGTCCTGCTTCCCTGCTGGCCACTCTGCGCGTGCACAGAGCCCTGGGCAGCCTCTGGACCTTAGTCCTGGCCCCAGCGCAGCCCGTCCCCCATGCTGATGTCATGGGCACTTAGACCTGGAGGCCCCTTCGGCTCCGCCTCCTGGGAGAAGGCTCTGGAGTGGGGAGCGGAGGGCGGAGGGCCGGCAGTGCTGGCTGGACAGCCACCCTGGGCAGGAAAGGAACGGAGAGACCGGGAGGGAGACAGAGAGGCACAGAGACACACAGACAGTGAAAATCTGAAACATTCAGAAAGACACCCAGAGAGAGCCTCGAGCAAGCCAGAGGAAGAGGGCAAGCGTGTCTGCAGACTGCCCTGGACCCGTGACCCTACTTCCTGAGCCCTGTACGCCGGTGGCAGCTGCACCTAGGCTGGTAGGTAGCTGACAGACTCAGACCCAGGTAAGGTGGGCCCTGTCTTGGGCACTGGGAGAAGGGTTTGTTCAGACTGCTGCAGTGGAGGGTCTGGTGACTGGACTTGGAAGCAGTCATTAGCTGGGGCCACCTCTGGACCCCTTGTCCCCATAGCCACTTGCTCCCGGGCTTCCTGCCACACTTGGGGGTCTCAGCCACAGCAGCCGCTGAATGAAACGGTCTTGAGCCTGGAAAGATGTAGGTTAGTGCCCTAGAGAAGGGAAGAGCTGAGGGGCACGGTCTCCATGGAGTAGTCTCTGGCCAGGACTTGGGTAGGGGCATCCTGGGGCCAGGGGAGCAGATATACTGGGAGTGGCAGAGAGAGATTACTCTGTCCCTGTCTCTGTCTCTTTTGGTCTCTCTCTGACGCCCTTTTTCTTTATCGCTCTCCTTGGATAAATTACTTCCTCTCTCTGTGCCTCAGCTCCTCCATCTGTGAAATGGGAATATGGAGCCTCACCCCCCCCAGGGTTGTTGAGGGGATGAGGTAAAATCAGGCATGGGCACATAAGTATAGTTTTGGGTTCTTTGTTGTCAATCTGAAAAGCATTTATCTTGAACAAGGTCAACTTCTTATTTTTAGGGGAAAAAAAAGGA